AAAAAAAAAATAATATATATATATATATATATATATATATATATATATATGACTTTTTTAATAAAATAAATCAAGAACCAAATTAAAATATATAAATATAAAATGATAATGTGACTGAAAAATGATGATATGACAAAAAGTCAAACAACTCTTCCAAAACCTTCCCAAAATAAGAATGTATGGTAGAAATTCTCATTTTAATATTTAGTGTGTGAACATACAATATGGTTGCATCAATGAGAAATGTTTGGGCTTAATGATATATCTTTTTTGCTTCAGTGGAAAAAAAATATAAACAGCCTAAACTAGCCTATTTTTGTTTTTTTTTTTTTTTGACAAAGAAGCCAATACTAGCCTATCCCTTAGGAAAAGGGAATCTAGTTGAGGAGAAAGGATATCCCAGATAATCAAATCTTGAAATTGAGATTTGAGTGTAGCCAAGAAATGGGCACACACATAACTTCTCTGAAAACTCAGACAAAGTTCAACCTCTGGAAATTAACTAAACTCACTCCAAGATCATTGCATCCAAAGAAGCATGCTTTTAGAAGGGAGGGCAAACTCCAGATCTCAAAATATCACAAACATTAGCTAAATTACCTATAAAGTAGTCGCAACCCTCAAATATGAATTTGTTAGGAAACAGGAAATAACTTGAAACTTATTATAAATGTATGATACTTATAACTATATTTTAGCTAAAGAGTTGTTTTAATCATATACTAGCTAGGAAGAAAAAATGAGTAACATAACACTAAAAATCAATTACGAAATAGTTAGAAATTTTAAAAAATTACCTATTAATTTTATTTTATTGTACAATGGTTATACATATATGTGTTTATTTTTTCAGTCATACATTAAAAATCCTTAATCAATTCCTCTTTTTGGAGTCAGCTTATTAATTACCTTTGGAAGCTTATAATTTCAATGTTTTAAATAGAACTTTTGAATAAACATCACCTTTAATTTCCTAAAACAAAATTAATTAAGTCAAACATGGTACACCTCAAATCGTAATATCTTGTTCGGCTTTTCCTCGTTTAAATTTTATGATACTTTTCAATGTATGTATCTTTTTAGGACTATAAGACTATTAAATCCATATTTTTAAAATTCTTTTTTTTTAATACAAATTATAAGTATTTTTGAGAATTTTTTTTAATAAAAAAATTTATAGATCGTGAATATTTTAAATCATGGACAAACTTTACTGAGACAAAATTTAGAAAAAATATAAATTGAATCAGCTCAAGCATTTAGCTCAACTGGTGGATACATGTACATTTAGAATTAACGATAAGAGAGGATTTAATTGTACAAGCCTAGTTGAGCTGGTACGCCTGTGCCGTTGATCCACGTCCCTTGCAAGAAAGCCTCAACGGTGTAAGTCGTAGCCTCATCCTTGTTAATGTTATGGAGGGTAGACCAACGAACCCTAGCATTGGTGTTGGCGCCGGCTCCATTGTTGTTGTACTCACCATAGTAGAGTGTGTTTAGGGCAAAGTCACCTTCCCAAGGTAGCCACCCATCGGGATGAATCAAACTGTTGATCTCGGTCTCCATGATGATGGTTCGGGAGAACTCCTTCCATGGCCTTCCGAGGTAGTTCTTGGTTTCGGGAGGCAAGTCATCGGAGGCTTTGATGACGCACTTCTGGAGAACGAAGCCAGTGTCCTCTTGCTTGTCGATTCTGCCTTGTGCGGTCACGATGTTCTGCTGGGTTTCCAGGGGCTTTCGCACCACCATGGTGCAGTTTTGGAACACTGCTGAGGCGTCGCCGAAGATGAAGTCGATGGTGCCCGTGATCACGCAGTCGCGGTAGAATTGCCTGTGGGTTTGGGCGTAGAGTGTGTCTTGGTAACCGTCGAAGAGACAGTTGAAGAACACTGCTTGGTCGGCTTGCACTCTCGCTGCCACTGCTTGGTGCTTCGCTGCTCCTGCGGTGTTTTGGAATCCCATGTCTTTGCCCAAGAATCCATCTCCAAGTACAACTGAAACGTCCATGCAAACAATATAGTATTAGACAATATAGAGTTTCTCCACCAAAACTTGTCAAAATATATAGTCTAGAAGTGTTTTTTTTTAGAGTTTCTCTACTACAAAATACTCTTTACTTTCGTTACTTTTAAGTTTGTATCTAAAGGGATCTAATATATTCTGATACATTTGTAATGTTTAAGATTGGTTTCAATGAATTTGACAAAGAATGTGTTACTACTTACTATCATTTTTAATAGGCATGCAGCAAATGCTATGATATATATAGCATAGTGTGAAAAATTGTGTTGATTGAGGAATGAGGAGGGATATATGGAGTTATGTTTTACACTTACCAAATGATGCAGTTTGGAAGGTTCTGACTCCGTCCACGTAATTCTTGTTGCCAGTGATGATACTCTTGTCCATTCCATCACCAAACATGGTTAGGTTCGTCATTTGCTTTGTCACTGTCACTGTCTCATCGTATACTCCGGCTTTAACATAAACCACGTACCTGCAAAAACATTGAAAATCACACGCTTTTCATTACCATGCGTAGAGATATATTAATAATGTCATCAGGTTATATATTGTTTTTCCTTTCTCACAAAATAAGTCAGTAAAAGTTCAATTATTTGCTTAAAAGATAAACTTTAGATTCAATATCATATATGTAGAGATTTTTCTTCATTTTTCTAATCAAAATTAAAGTTTTACCAGAATAATACAAATATAAACATTTAATAAAATCATATTTCTTAATTATCGGAGAACAACAACTATGATACTGTACATAACTGATATAAGTGTAATATATGAAGAAAAGAGAAAAATATATACCTGCCAGTGTATGTTTTTGGGATTGCAGCCAAAGCCTCAGAAACGGTTTTGAAGTTTCCGCTGCCATCTTGTGCGACTGTAACATTAGGCACGAGTTTCTCATTGGTTCCAACGATCTCAGTAGGGCCGGACCAAGCAGGAACGGGCACGGCCCATGTAGGAATTGGGCCATCCCAATCAGGAACCGGGGTTGGAGCCGAGCCAGGAGCAGCAGAACCAGAAGCAGCACGAGGAGCAGGAGCAAAAACACCACCAATTCCAACACCACGGGGCTGAGCAGCAACAGGCCCTGAAGTAGGAGCAGAAGCAGAAGCAGAAGCACCATCATTGTTATCACTCTCCCACGGAAGGTGAAAGTTCCCAGCACCTTTGAATATCGAAAAGAACGAAGAAACCTGCGACACCACGGCAAGAGCGTTACTCACAAGCTCCCTCGACTCGTTAAACGCGTTCCTGAACTCGTTCTTCAAGTTCCCTTCGGGGAACCCATCGATGCAGGTTTGTTGGTACGACATGACAGCACTGAGCCAGTTGTTTAGGTCAGGGGCCTTGGATGAAAGCTTATCAGAGTCGATTTCACCGACTTGGTTGATGGAAAATCCAAGCTCTTCCTTGGCATCTTCGAACAACTGCTTACAATCTTCATACGCGCCCTTTTCCTCCTCGGACGCGAACTTCATCTTGGAGGTTTCGTTGAAGGCTTTGTTAACCTCGTTCTCCGCAACAACCATGGTAACCAGAAGAAGGTCCTTTGGCTGCGCCAGTTGTGGGTCCTTCTTCAAGGCCTCGTTGAGCGTGTTTTCGCATTTGTCCTTGTACTCAGCGGAGCCGCAAATCATTCCGACAAGCCTCGAGTTTTGGTCCACGTGTGGGGTGCCGGTTGGTTTCATGGCAACGCCGTCCTTGGTGTTCGCGCCTGTTCTTTGGACCACCACAAACGCGGCGGCGCCGATGACGCATGCCAGGAGCACGGCGGAGACAACACTAATGAGGATCTTCTTCCTCATCTTTAGTTTGGCCTGGTTTTTGCGGCGCTCGGAGATGACGTCGAAGTCCTGAAACGCCATTGGGGCTTTTCTTTTCTTTTTTTTCTTTTCTTTTTTTAGTTTATTGGGTCTAAGGCAGAGGGTGGCTCTGCCTTAGCCGCAAGGGACGAGGAAGTGAAAGAGAAAAAGGAACTAAGGTTGCTGCTGGTGTTAGCTCCTTTCCCTTTGCTTTGAGGCTTCACGTCTTTGGAAATTTATACTGTTTCTCGTGTGCATGTGTGGACGAGAGATCATTCAGGTGTTACTATTTTTTTGAAAGTTTGTTAATCGACGACTGCGAGGAATAATGGGGTGATGACACCTGCGTGCTAATTTGTAGCCAACTTTAGACCAGCTTTGAAAATTTCTATATCATCATAAGTCTAACTAGTTTATATATAATAGTAAAAAATATAATGTTATTAGCTTTTTTATAAATTAAAAAATTTAAATAATACAGCCGAGATCATGTACATTTAATGATCCAGAACTAGTTAATTATTTTTCGTGTAATAGATATTGACCATACTATAGACATAGACATATAGTGCTCATAAATTATTCAATAATTGTTCGTATATACCATAATCCTCAAATGGAGTAATAAAGACTTAAAATTATCTGTATTTGGAACTACACTAGCATAACATTCTCTTTACCATCGACCAACAAGGATTTTGGAAGAATAACGGGACTACGACAGGTGATTTATTTTCCGTGTTTCCTTTTTAGCAAAACGAGATCAAAAGAAACCACAAACTCAATTTCTGAGTTCATTGAAATAGCAGCATAGAAACCACTTTTCGCAACATATTAATTTACATATAAAGATAATAGGTCATATGTATTACAGTATGACGATGAAAAAAAAACTCATTCTTCTCTTTACGATCAAAGATCAGATAATACAAAAAAAAAAAAAAAGTAACACAATATTAAAATATTATATTGATACATATGTTTGATATTATCTATTAATTTGAATCTAAACTCTCATGAAATTATTTTTATTATCACTCAAAAAATGACATATTAATAAAGACTTTATGTGTACTTATGGAATCATATTCCTCTTTTTATTCTAATAATATGAAACTTTGTTTGTACTTTCAACAAGTTGAAAATATTAAATTATATGAAAGATGTCATTTAATTAAAGGATAATTTTTGGATGCATAATTATTAATTAAAATATTAAGATTTAAATATATTGTTAATTATTTTAATATGAGAAATTTATTTTTAATTCTTTAAATTTAAAATTAATTTTTTAGTCATTTAATTTCAAAAAAAAATTACTTTAGTCTCTATATTTAAATGTCGTTAATAAATTTATCAAACAAAATTTACCTATTACTTATTTTGTCATACAAATAAGTGGTCCTAATTGACTAAAATAAGTTTTTATTTTTTATGAAATTACAAGGAGAAAAAATGATCAATTTTTAAATTTGAGGGATCAAATATACAGTTATTCCAAATTTAATTAACTAAAAACATGTCTAAGTAAAAAAACTTAATAAAAATTGTCACTACTACAAAAACATTATTTAACATCGCCAAATTTACATCGGTTCTAGTAGAACCGATGTAAATGATAAACGCGGTGGCAAACTTGTAAATAAATAAAAAATAAAAACATATTTACATCGGTTTTATTTATAACCGATGTAAAAATAAAATTCGGGAGTTATTCTACATCGGTCTTGGGTCATGACCGATGTAGAAATGAGAACCTAATTTTCCCCTTTCCCTCATCAGCAACGTAAACCCAGCTGCCTCCTCCCACTCCCCATCCCTCTCCCCCATCCACCAAACCCTAATATCTTCGTGCTCTCCTCCAGCCTCGCCCCCGACGCCGCCACCGCCGACATCGCCATCCACGCCCTCTGCTCCGCCTCCCACCTCGACCACGCCGTCCAATTGCTCAAGGAATATTTCGCCTCCAAGCACTGCCCCCCAAACACCTTCACCTTCAACCACCTCCTCAAGCACCTCTGCAAGTCCCGCCCCCTCTCCTCCATCTACGCCTTCATCGACGAGATGCACCGCGACTTCGCCCTCAAGCCCGACCTCGTCACCTACACCATCCTCATCTACAACGTCTGGAACTCCAAGAACCTCCGAGAGCCCACGCGCCTCGTCGTCGTCCTCCACCGCGAGGGCTTCAAGCCCGATTGCTTCCTCTACAACACCACATGAAAGGCTACTGCGCCCTCAGCAGGGGGAGCGAGGCCATCGAGGTTCTTAGTTAGTTACTTCTCATCTCATGTTGTATATAAGCTAAGTAGATGCCTAGTCCCTTATCTATGTCTTCTGAATCTGAAATTGAACTCTCTAGTTTCAGAACAGTCTCAAGAGTTACTGCAAGAGCCAAGAAAAGGAAGTTATCTTTTTTGAGTGGGCCTCCATACGTGGCACTCATGCCAATCTTCAGGTAGAAGTTTCTATTGATAGTTGAAATTCTCAAAAGGGCACGATCTTTGTACTTTGCTCTTTGTTAATTGATGAGCTGGCTTCCCTTCCCCTCTTCCCATCTTTCTTGCCTGTCCACTTTCCCCTTTTATAATTTGCCTAATTCCACTTTGGATGTTCAATCTTTTCTCCATTTTGTTGGTTAGCTATTTTCAGCTCTATCAACAGTAGTTTGTTAATTAGTTTTTTTTTTCTCTCGTGGAAGATTATATTAGTTCAATTTTTATTTGATTGACTGTTACTTTAGATTGTCTCTTATCGAGTCTCTACCCTTTGTGTAGGCCATTCCCATTCCATCTTCGAAAGTAGTTATGGTTGAAAAAGTTTTCAATTTAGCTGCACAGAAGTTGGGATTTAAATTTGTGGCCAAGAAATGTAAGTATTATTCTTCAGAGCATGTTTCATATTTCATTGCTTATGTGGTCTGCTTCAGACCTAGATATCCATTTAGTTCTTAACCCTTATTTCCCCTTAAATTTATTGTTTTTCATTGCCTCATTACCAATTCTCAGTCATTGATTACCTGACTTGAAAAAAAAAAA